GTTTCTGTAGCATCAAGGATTTAGTATTTGTCCTGCAGTTCAGCCCCCCTGTCACCCTAACCCATATGTTGCTTGAGCTATTAGCAATTTATAAGTTTAGTAAACATGGGTTAGTCATTGCTTGAGTAGAAAAGGTAGTGCTGCTAACCAGGGGCAGGCATGTGTTGGTGTTCTGCACTGAACTTGGTCTGCACCTCTGTCCTAGTCTTTGTTGGTTAGCACTGCATTGCTGAAGGGCTGGTTTGAGATCTGGAGCAGGGCTAGCTATGCTAGTAGCATATGATCATGTCCTTTAATAATTATGCAACCACATTCCATACAGCTATTACTGCAATAATGAATACAGTTTCGGGGATGGGTGGGGAATCACATGTTCCCTTGTATAAAATAGTTATTTACTTATTATCTATTTATTTAATGGATTTATATGCCGCTACAGTGGCCCACATCTAGCCTTTCTGTGCGGCTCACAATATTATACTTCAAGCATTCAGGAGAATTGAATATCCTTGTAGCAAAAACATATTCTTGAAGAAAAAGCGGTGTACAAACTGTGCTAACCAAATGGGAGACATGAATATCAATGGTCCAGAAAATGATTATATGAAAAGGACTTTAATCTTGTGATGGTCAGAAATGTGGAGGGAAGGGGGAAGACTGAAAATGAAATTAGTCTGCTAGCTTTCAGCTCTGTCATGTGGCTTTGTAACGCTCCTTTTTCATCAGCTCTTCAGGGATTTTTTGCTGATGGCAATGAAATCCACATGGTTGAGCAAGCAAGAGTGAGAAAGTGGGTGAAACAACATGACAACAAGGCATGATGCCCTATGCCCAGTGTCAGCTGTCCAGCAAGACATGAGACTTCATTTTTGCTTGCAACGACCCATTAGAAACTCCATATGCCAGCATGAGTCCGCCAAAAATTGTTGAGCAAGTGTTCACATTTATCTCATTATCAATTCCCAGTTCAATTTGCTTATTTCTTGCAAATCTTCTCCTTAGACTGACTCAGTCTCACTTTGGTCTATGGATGAAAGTTGTACATATTAGGAAATTTGAAAAAATTTCCACAAATCTCCCCATTAGATTGCTGCTTGATTTGTACAAGTTTACTGTTCTCTCAGAGCAAGCTGCAATCATGGGTGGAAACTGAGCATGAGATGAGCAAGAGACAGTGTTCGGAGAGTCCTGGCAGTCTTGAACACTGCTTGTTCACCCATTCTTACAGAGCTGTGGTGTTTTGGAGCTTAGAGTTTTTCAGATGAGGTGCACATTCTCATCGGCAAAGCCGCATGAGAACTTGGTGATTGTAGCAAATTCCATGATTGCAGCTAGTTATGTTACACAAGTCCATAGTTACCTGCCATAGAATACAAGTTTAGTCAAGCTTGTAAATCTTGGATTTATTATAAAATGAATCACTTTTCATTGAGAAACACTTCTACAGCTGAAAATGTAAAACGAGATTTTACAAATGCAAAAAAATTGTTTTTTGTTTTACTCTTAAGTCCTGCATGTCTGTCTCAGACAAGAGTTAAATAAATGCTTCTATAGAGTGATGTTTAAGGTACCAGGAAATCGGGCATAACCACAATGAACCTGCAATATCTTGGGAATAAAAAAAGCTTGTGATCACTGTACTTGTCTGACCAAACACAGGAAAGCTTCTCAGCCCAAATGCTCGATAGCTTGTGTAGAGGTCCTTCATATATTTTAGATTCCTTTTCTCAATCTTTTTAGCTTCTGGTAAAAGCAAAAACTTTCCTCCTCTAGTGTTAACAGCTAAGGCCTGCCTCCACTGACTACCTTCTTGTGGTGGTCCCCTTATGGGATGCTATGCCCACCGAAGTGCGCCTTTCGTTGGTATCAGTTCCTGGCATTTTGATTTTTAAAAAACTACTTAAAATTCGTTAAGGAGTTTTTATTGATTGGGTTTGAATGACGTGCTACAACTCATGAGTTAATTTACCCATCATAGACTTGGGTGCTAGGTTGCATATACAGTGCTTGTTTAGGTTTGCTGTTTTGTGCAAACCCAGCAAGCAGGGGTTGTGTAGGGATTAACCAGCCCTCACAATACCCTAAAACAGACCATGGGTTATGCAAGGATTGTTTAACCCTTATATAATGCACACAGGCTAGGTTTGCATGACATGAGGGGATGGTATATTCAGAATGGCAGCTCCACACACCCTGTGTTGTGCAAATAGCCCCACTGTACTTTATTAAGTTGTGTTGTAATTTTTCTGAACTGCCCAGGGAATTTTGCTGTTGGGCAGTACAGAAATAAAGCAAATGAATGAAAATGAAGACAGGCACAAAAATTGCACAGCTCCTGTTTCTCATGGTTCAGGAACTGTTCTGGCTTTGCACACTGTTCTCTGGAGCCTTAAGATCTCCCTAGGATAGGTGGAATATTTGCAAGGCTGTGATTAGAATTTGTGACTAAGATTAAAAAATTCACAAATGAGAGGCAATTGTCAATGGCGAGGCTGTATGACAAGATGTTCCAAATACTATGAATCAATTAAAAACTCTTACGAAACAAAAACACATTATTAGGTTCTTTCTTTCTTTCTTTCTTTCTTTCTTTCTTTCTTTGGTTTTGGTTTTGGTTTTGGTTTTGGTTTTGGTTTTGGTTTTGGTTTTGGTGCTGTCCAGTGACACTTGTAATTGCTGACCCAGTTATAAATTGAGCTGAGAGAAGCTCGCTCCTCATTAGCCACAACAGCTGAAAAGAAATCCTGTTGAAATCATACTGCTGGCCAGTTCTGTGATAGCTAGTTTCATGTTGCTTTGTTCATGAAATCGTAGAATAGCAGCGTTGGAAGGGGCCAGAGGACCATCAGATCCAGCCCCATGCTCAGTGCAGGACTATATGCATGCCTGAGCAAGGCCGCGGCATCTTGCATGGAGAAAAAACCCTTCGTGTGAACAAATGCTTAATCACTACCAGTGGCTTTGAATTCCCCTTTATATTTGTAATGTCCTGGTGCTGTGAGGCAATCTGGATTTGTCCAGAGCTGTCTTGCATCCAGAAGGAGAGGCTGCCAGATATGCCTAGGAGTTCGGTAGATGTTTGCTGTTCTTTCCCAGTGCTGAGGAATTGAACACACTTGACTGGAGAACTCATTCTAGCTTGTTTGTTTTCTTTCTTGGCTTTGAATCAGGGATCCATCATGCTGAAATTGTGACCTGGGCTGGGATGCTCTGCTGAACACTACAGACTGTTTTCTTGTGGTTTCTGCCATCCCCTTTCTATTCCATTTGTGGATCCTGGTCAGAGCCAGCACCCCCTTTTAGAGAATAAAAAATGATGGCAGTGTTCGCTTGACCCTCTTGCTGAGTTTACACACTCAACACATTAATGGTTGCAGTAACTTGACTCAAGGAACTCTACTAGGAGCTCAGGCTGATTTTTATATTAACTCTTTTCAGTAATGAAAAGAAATGCTGCAGCTAGTTGGAGTTGATTGCATGAAGCGGTTTGCCTTGGCAATGATGCTGGTTCTTGGGTTTCCCTCGGATGTTTGGCTCAGTTTAGTTTGTCCTGGAAACTTGTCACTTGCTCATCAGAAGTGTGTGAACTGATTGCGTTTATGCACATTGGGTATATTTGTATAACAATTGCAGCATTTATGCTTCCTCAAGAACCTGTAGTTTTTTGGAAGGGACTATCCTGGCAAAAAAAGATGGAAAAGGAAGATGCCTGAAGCAGGACAGGTGTGAGGGCAATGGGAGAGGTCACAGGGCAGGGACACTTGGCTACTCATCCTTTCTGTCAGTGGGACATGACATACAGCCTTCCTTGAATCTTATGCCATGGTGTTGTGAGAAAATTTCCTTCCTTCCTTCTTCCTTCTTCCCTCTTACTTCCTTCAAATGCATTATTTTGCTTCTAGTACATTATGGGCCTGGATATGAATCCAGTAAGTGGATATGAATCCAGAAAGTCCACAACCTTCAGAAAGTGTTACAGCTGAGGACTAAGGCTACAACCCTATACATGTTTACCTGGGGATATGTCCAGGTAATTTCAACCCAGCAGGGGTTATTTTTGAGTAAACATGCATAGTTTTGGCCTCACACTTCAAAATAGGAGTATTTTCTGTCAGCCCCTGACAGTCAAGTCTCAGCATAACTAAACATTTCTAGCTAAATGAAAACAGGGTGTTCACAGAGATCCCTTTTCTGTTGAAGTTGTCAGGAAGCCTGGAAATGAATGGCCCTAAGGGACAGCTGAATTACTAACCACTTAATAAAGCTAAGCGAATGAATATTGTCTTTCCTGTCCACTCCTTCATTGCCCTCATAAGTGGGCTTGAAGGAAGGTAATGAATCAAGGCTACATCCATGTTTCACCTTTGCAAAATGCCTTTTTGCTCTGTGTGTGAATGCTTTGTCCTTCTGTGGAATCGTTTATGAAAGTCCTGGAGGCTGGACATTGAACTAATAGCACCACCGTGTAAGAATGCTATATCTTTTACTGTTTGTGCACAACTGCATTCAGCCTTCTGCAACTATCTGTGTGTTGGGGAATCACCTCCCATCCATGTTTTACAGCAGTCCCTGTTACAAGTGGTAGTCTGTTTTGGAGAGGTGAAGGGAAACTTCCGTAAGCAACAGTTTACTGAAACATTTAGACTGGAAATTTAACACTTTTTGCATAATCAAAAGGTTTTAAACTAATTAATTACAGTAGTTAATTGACTAAATATTGTAGCCATAATATAGTTCCCCATAACTTCAAAATTTATTCAATACTGTACATTGGGGTTGGCCAAGCTGAGGCTTGGGGGCCACAGGGGGTCCTTGAGTTTATTTTGCTGCTCAAAGCTTGCCGCCCACAGGCCACGTGCCACTCACTTGCCACAGCCACCATCTGCAGGCACCTGTCTGCCACTTGCTGCCTGCAGCCACTGCCTGCAGGGGCCCACTTGCGGCTCTCAAGCATCTGACATTTACTGTATGTGGCTCTTCCATTGAACAAGTCTGGCCACCCCTGCTATATAAAGTTTTGCAAGGTTTTGCCACTTCAAAGGGATGGGTATCGTCAAATCTTCAGTGTTCAATGTATGTTTGCAAATTTGTGGATTTCTGGCCCTGAGAAAGAGCCAGTGCATGTGTCATGGTTGCCATGTGGGTGCTGCTTTAAGACTTTCTGTATTTATTAAGTACATATTTGTGTCCAGCAGCTCAGACAAGCCCAGGCAATCGGGAGGAAATGAAAAAAAATGCTCGGAGGTAGAGCATATGCTATGCATTTGAGTGATCCCAAGTCTAGCCCATCAGTTCAGGAATTCAGGAAGCAGATAGAGGGATTCCTGTCTGAGAGCCTTTGTTACCAAAATGCCAGGTTTATTTTGGCCTGCCCTCTGTTTTTAGCTCTTCTTGTTCTACCTGTTCTTTTGTCTGAACTCCAATTTGTTTTCTAAAAATTCTGCTAGTCTTTCAGTATTGCTGCAATATATAAGTCTTTTTTTCCTCTATGGATTAGGCCTAGATTGGAAATTGCAGTGTAACAGTGTATTCTGGAACCTAGAGTTCTGCTTTTTCTCTACATCTCTTCCTACTGGACTACAAATCCCAGCAAGCTTTGGATGTGTGGGAAGGGCCTTCCACTTATGACAGGGGAGAGAAAGTGTGGCCTTAGACATCCCGGCTTCAAAATGATGTTGCTCAGAAAGCTGGCAAAATGAATGTATTTACTTACCGTATTTTTCGCTCTATAAGACGCACCTGACCATAAGACACACCTAGTTTTTAGAGGAGGGATCCATGGAAAGCTTCCTGATAATCACAGGCACATTCCCCATCACTTCCCCATGGGCTTCATTAAAAGACGGGTTGCCATTTGAAAACACAGACTGACCGGCCCGCGGCTCCTCCTCCTCCGTGGCAGGTCTTCCCGGGAGGTGGGGGTGAGCAGTCCGTCTCTCCATGCGGCGGGCGGGTTAAAGCCCGCGGCTCCTCCTCCTCCGCACCGCTCCCCCTGAGCAGCACAGCTCTCACCTGCGCCGGCGGGGGGGGGGTGGAGCAGTGCGCGCCGAGCGTGTGCCGGCCACGTGGTGCAGCCGGGCCGGCAGCGTTCCGGGCGTCAGGCACACACACATTTGCTCTATAAGATGCACAGACATTTCCCCTTACTTTTGAGGGGGGGGAAAGTGTGTCTTATAGAGTGAAAAATACGGTAATAGCATTTGCACCCCACATTTCTGCCAAAAAAGGCATTGGCAGGTGGCTCTGCATGAAATAACTCTAGAGAAGAGGAAGTAAGGAGTATGGGAAGGCAGAGTGGAAAGGAAAGGAGTGGATGAGGGAAAGGAGTGCATGAGATTTCTCCTGGGAAGAGGAGAGAAGAGAGATGCCATGGGGTGAAGGAAGCAGGAGGAGAGCTGGAAGGTGTTCTTCCTTCCTGGAGTTGAAGGCTGGGTAAAGATAAACACTGGCACAGCAGTCCGCTGAACCTCAAACCCGTGCCATTGAACTCAGGTTAGCTTCAGAATTATTTGAAAATGGTCATGCCACCTCCACCTCTGCCTCCTCCCAACACACTCATCCTCACTCAGAATATGGCATCCTGTCTTTCTCACAGGCCATAGGCATGGCTTGCAGGTCTTCCATCCTGCCTCCCCTGTCATGGACCTGGGGTGGCTGCTCCTTTATTTACTCTCTTCCTTAGCCTTCCTCTGGCACTGGCATCCTTCATTGCAGTCTGCTGTTCAGTTAAAGGTGTAGGTCTGTGAACTTTTGAGGAGGACCAGGGGACTATGCTGAGCCATTTTGGATTTCTACCTGAATTAGAATGATTGTTTTTAAATTTGCATCTGTTCACTAGATCTGCCCACACATATGCAAATGTGTGCCTTCTTTTGTTCTTTTTTAAGGTGATGCATATCTGGCCGCCCTAGAAAGTACTAGACCAGATGGCCCAGTGTGCTGGCTCAGGATAAGGTTGCTTTCTATGTTTTTTTGTTTTTTGTTTTGAGTGGCCTTGCATTTCAGTTCTCCCAGAAGAAGAATGAGTTAAAATTAGGAACAGGTGCCATACATAGCATCTACCTCTGTACACAGCAAGAAAATAGGTACTGTGCCCATTAAGGTATTATAGGTACTATTAAGCAGGGACACTTGGAAAATATGATTTAGCTAGCTGTAAGGATGGATCTGCTGTGAACCATGCAAATTTTCTGTCATTACTGGCAGGTGAGTTGAAGGCATTTGTTAACTGAGAGCTGGATATCTGCTTCAACAAGCAATATGGTAGTAAGTGACCTTCACCTTTGAAGATGTACAATTGTCAGGAAGGAATTACCTGTCACATTATGGATGACTGTGATGGACCAGTACAAGAATTTCAGATTGTATCTATCATCAAAAAGCACCCCCAACCTATTTTCTTCCCACCAAATAGTCCAATTGGATCTGGCCTTTTATTGGTGTGGCACCTGCCTGTGCATCCCTAACGAGTCATTTTGCTGCTAACAAGCTAATTGCTGGCATAATTATTTATTGAGGTGGTGTCGGTGTAGCATGGCAGGCGGGTGGTAGACATTCTTCCGCAGCCCTGGAATGCAGCTGTATTTGTCACTTCCTAGAGAGTTTGTTGAGACAAAGCAGAGAAGAGTAAACACCATAAACATTTATGCTCTTGCATATTCAGCAGCAGATGAGGTTGAGGAAGCTGCAAATTGGAGTGCGGAGAGCAGTGTGGAACAAAGATTGTATTGGCTGAGGGGTGCTGCCAGGGCATAAATACCTTTGTTGGTTATGTTCCAGTCTTTCTGGGAGCTGAACATTTTGTTAACCCCTTCATTGTTGCAGCGCTGATGGAAGGAAGATAGAATGTGCAGAACTTTTGGGGCAAGGGTCATGTGACTAAGGGTACAGGGGTTTAGAATCATGATGGAGGCATCCTAGTCAAAAGCGCATCCTGTCTTGTTATGCTGATGTGGGCCTAAGTAAACTTCCAGGTCTCATGGTGCATGTGTTCAGTATCACCCCTCAAATGCATTTTTATTCATCCTCACATATTTCATATTAAGGCATGATCTTGCATTAAACAAATCAGAACAACTAGATACACGTCCTACCATTTAATCTATGCTTTTAAAGTACCAGAGCTGTATTGCATTGCATTTTTATGTATTTTTGAATTTCTACCTTCTTGAATGTGATACATTTAAATCTGCATATTTTAAAATGAATTAGTATATGTAAATAACTGCCTGGACTGGGAATGGTGGTATTCAAGCCTGTAAATAAAGTGGTCCCCTTTTGTCAACTTCGTGAATTATTTCTTAGGCCTAATTATTTGCTGCTTCCTCATCACAAACCTCTGTTAAAATGAGTGATGGGATTCAAGAACAGCTGAGCAAGCAAAAGGAAACAGCAGCTGTGAATTGGTTTGCTGGTCCTGAGACACCTCCCCCAGCCTTGCTCTTTTTGATGTTTTCCCCATTACCCTTTTTACCAAAGTGCAGAAGGTCAGGCTTGTCTCTTATTGCCTGCAAAGGTGCAAGCCTTTCAATGACTGTCGCAGTTTTAGGACTGCTTGCTGAGGCCCTTTAACTGCACAACTTGAGAGGAATTGCTGTATGTGGGCACTACCAAAAACACAAAAGCAAGTGAACCAGAGGAAAGCAGGCAGGGGTTTAAGCCTGAAAGACTGCAAATAGCTGGATAGTTAAATGGCACCCTGGTTGGATACAAATTGGATGTGAAAACTAATTGTACATCTTCAGAAAGTGTTCATTCTTGCTCCAAAGCTTTTGCATTAGCCCAAATTTTTGTTTACTTCTAATCCATTTCCAGAATTGCTAGCCTACAATTTTTTAAAATCTTTTTTTATTTCCACAAACTGAGCTGTAGATTTAACAGCTATATGAGTGCTCTTTGATTTATTTTACTGTTGTGCCATCTTAGAATATCACAGTAGGAGTTTTGTAGCATTTTTCTGCAGCCATTAGGAGTCATGTGCTTCTTTTTTGTGAGTACTTTTTAAGAAAATTTGATTATAAAGCTTGTTCCTTTTATGCTTTTAAGGAACTCGTGAACATAAAATAATGGTGTTTCCCTCTAATTGCAGTTACACCTGCATGTGTTGTTCTGAGGTCACTGCCATATTTCTCAACTGTACATGGCAAAAGGTAGGAAGGAGGGATGCCAGTAACTCGTTTCACATGTAACACAGACCCTGAGTACTGGTTGAATATGGGTTGTTGTTGAATTGCGAGGTGGTTGCTGAAATGTAGATGGTTGTTAGCACATACTCTGTGCTATGGTTTAACTATGGGTTGTTAAACATGCACAAGTTCACAGCAACAAACCATGGGTTTTCTTCCTGGATTGCCCATTATTAACAATGCGTGCTTAAATTGTAGTGCAAATTTCACATGTAAGGACAAACCATGATTGAGCCAACAACTTACAATTCAGTGACAGCCCATACTCAACCTGTAAACTGGGACTGGCCAACCTGCAATGGTTTGCCATGGGTTATACAACACACGGTGAGCACAGTGTGTATGGAATGCCAAGTTGGATATGCAACATTCACTTTCATGTGAGCATGGTTTATGCAAGGCTGTTTAAACCCTACATAATCCATGCTTGCTGGGTTTGCACAATGCAATAACCCCTGAGTAGGGATTGCATATTCAAAATAGTAGCTCCCTGCACCCTACACGCCACAGCCTCATCATGAGTTAAATAACTCATGGTGGGCTGTTGTGTTGTGTGAACATCCTCAAACTCCAAATCATTGTTACATGTACACTAGGCCAGTCTCTAGTCTCCTGGTTATTGTTTGGTTTTCTTATGTTCTATTTGGCTTCAAACAAAGATGTACACAAACAAGTTTCAGTAATGCAAGCTTCAGTAATGAGCATCTATTTGAAAGCTATGTGTCTGGCTTAAACTATCTGGAAAATTTATGTCACAAAAAGAATTCTGCTTCCATTCCCTCTCATATCCTGCCTAGATGGTACTTCTAGTTTATTGTAATTGGTGGAAAACGTAGAGATGTGGAGAATTCTACAGGTCTGAATTTTGGGGATTCTTGACCAGATTGCACCCCAATGTAGCGGATTACACTCATCACATGTTTACTGAGAGCAGGCCCCATTGAATTTGATGGGATTTGCTCTCAAGAAAGTGTGCCTAGGTTTGCAGACACTGAAATCTGAAGGGTGTCTTGTGTGCTGGGCTCGTCTTTTAGAGACTGGAGTGTGCTGGTGTTGCCTGCATGCTTTGAACACGGGCCTCAGCCTAGAGGACCGTGCACGTTGTGACCTGATAGCAGTGGGTTTCCCATTGACTAGGTGCCCAACTAATGAGCTGTGCAACTGTGTATAGATAGTGTCTTGCTATCCACATCCATTTTCACAAAACAGATGAATGTATCACCTGAATGTGTGTTTTTTACATACCTGTACACATAGACATTTCGTAGGTGCTCTTAGATGTGATAACCATTAAATTTCTGTTTTCATTAACTAAAGCTGCTCCTTTAAAACAGACATAGTCCTAATTTGCACATAACAACAACATGTATTGTTGGCTTACCTGCTGGGTTGTTTAGCCAGTGGTGTGGGTTCAGGTATCATACTTAACAGCCTACAAAGGAATACATTGTATGCTATTAGTTAAAAGTGGAAACAGTAAGCACAGTGCAGGCAGCTCACCTGCTCTCTCCTGTTTATCCATGGATTGTTCTGCTCATGGCTGTCACTGTAGGCGAAAACCCCCTCCCTCCCTCCCTCCCCCTCTCTCTCTGTCTCTCTCTCTCTCTCTCTCACACACACACACACACACACACACACACGGTCCAGTTTCTCCTTAAGTCTCCTAAACAAGATGCCCGTGGATTCAACTTTCTGTTCCTTTGAATGTTGTGTTAACTCTAAGTGCATCAGGACGACCTCTCTTAGCAGCAGTGTTCTCTCTGCTTTGCCTGGTGGTTGTCTGTGTGCAGTGGACAACATTCATAGCTGAAGGGCTTCGGGGAACTGCGGCTGTTTCATTATCAGACTATGATATTCTGCTGGAATTAGCAGAGCGAGGATTAAGGTGAGTAGCACATGGCTGTTGCTCCATTAAAGACCTTGTGGGTATTTCAGCTTGTACTTTGCTGGTCATAAGGTTTAAGTTCTTCACTTAATTCTCTCTTCAGTTTCCCTCTCTGTTTTCTCTGCATCCCC